GTCAGTATATCAAGAAATGAGCTCAGTCTAACGTGTTAGTCCTTGTTAATTAGCACTGTATCAGATGCGTAGAGGATGATGGGGATCGACCAGCTTAGCTCTTTTATGCGGTTTCAGCTAAGGAAATTTAGTTTCCCAAATAAGCCTAAGTAGGGTAGGAGCACTTGGGTGGCTGGGATGGTTACCTCCTGCGAAAAAAAAAGAAAAAAAGAAAGAAAACTTGCCCACCGCGGTGCTCCTTCTCTACGAGAGCCCTTATTTAAAAACTGGCATGTCCGTGATATAACACGGCGTAACGCGTTTCATTGAATTCATTTCTTGATATACCGACATTGTGATAGGTGGCCTCCCCTCCCCCCCAACTACATTTTCACCGAAATCTTGTATGCCTAACAAAGCAAGAAGGTCTAACCTCGATTTCTTAATTATACATGCATATGACATATTTTTGGGCGGAGGTGGTGTAGTGGCAAGTGGCGCACTATATCACACGCACGGTCAGGGGTTCGAATCCCGGATCGATGCCCGCCTAGGCCAACCAAGCCTTCCATCGCTCCGGGGTCGGTGAATTGGTACCAGACTCGTCTGGGAGGATAAAAGCACTGACTTGTACATCGGCTGGCCACCGCAAGTCATTGTATAGGCCACATACGCACTCATTACGCCACTACGATTCTGAATGGAAGTCGAGTGCGGGGGCGCATCCCTCAGACGGAATTGACTAACGCCAAAAACTTTATCCTTTATCCTTATAACATATTTTTGCATTAGCTGGGTTTCAGACGAAGTGTTAGAAGATCCACTGGCGTGGCCACCGTTCCGCAACGAGTATGTCACCTATTTTGCATTAAGAAATTGAGTTGATCGGCTGCTGAGAAGTCCTACAGTATAACAAAACTTAAGTAACCTCTAAAGCAAGTTCTGGCAATATTCAGTCACTTCCCCAGTTCTTTTTTATTGAAAAATGAGTTTGAATTGTTTCGTTTTCAAAATCATGCCTGATGAATTTCTTTCAATAAAAATTTGTTGCAAACGTATTTCAACTGTCAAATATTCTCAAAGGATGGCTGAAAATTCGTCTTTATACGTGACTAACAAGAATTCTCAGATAGATTGGTCGATATAATGCACAAACGACATGTACTGTACATTACTAACTCACAAAAATGGCAGTGGTACCGATTTGCTCGGAGTACGTACACTATGTTTGTTTACTTGTTTACCCAGGTGCTATGTAGTTGTCGAACTATTTATCATGTATCTTTATATGCACGCAACTCTATTGGGACATTCGTTTAACCAAAGTGTATTTTTTGAATAAACAAAATCGCCACGCATCTAAATGTATGTAGTGGCAAGTGGCCCCTATCATATGCATGGCCTGAAGGTCGAAGCTCAGTCCAATACTAGCCCAGTTCCGAGCCTTCTATCCCTCCGAGGCCGGCTAGGAGGCACAGCCTAGTCAGGGAGGATAAAGGCAGGATTTGTGCATGGCTGGCCACCGTAGGTCCAAGCCACACGCACAAATGTCCACTACGACTTTGGATGGAAATGGAACGCACGGCGCATCCCGAGGCGAAAGTGGTGAAGTCCAAATGAGGCTTTCACCTCTGGGAAACCTTATTTTTATGCAATGCTTATGTTGTGCTCATCATGTAAGTGGGTATATCTCGGTGGTAGATAATGGTAGGGGCCCTACACACGGCCTCCCAAACAGGGCAGTGAAGGACAGATACACATGAAGTAAACCTCATAAAATTTTATTATTAATAAGAAAAGTGCTTGCATTCACTTGACATTCTACATTACTGGAACAAACGATAGGGTTAATGTAAGCTGAAAAAGAAGTGAAAGGTCTTGTATAGAAATCCTGTGTGGGTGTCTTCGTCTT